AAACTCGCAATTGCGAGTTATAAAGTCAGAATTGTGAGATATAAACTCAAACTCGCAATTGCGAGTTATAAAGTCAGAATTGCGAGATATAAACTCGCAATTGCGAGTTATAAAGTCAGAATCGCGAGATATAAACTCGCAATTGCGAGTTATTGTGAGATATAAACTCGCACTTGCGAGTTATAAAGTCCGAATTGTGAGATATAAACTCGCAATTCTGAGTTTTCTTTCTCGCAATTGCGAGTTTATATCTCGCAATTATGAATTTTTTTTCTCAGAATTGCAAGTTATAAAGTCAGAATTGCGCTTTATAACTCGCAATTTTGACTTTATAACTTGCAATTGCGAGTTTATATCACGCAATTCTGACTTTATAACTCGCAATTGCGTGTTATAAAGTGAGAATTGCGAGAGATAAACTCGCAATTCTGAGAAAAAAAGTCAGAATTGGGAGTTTTTATCTCGAATTACCTTGTTTTATTTTTTATTTAGTGGCGGAAAACGGGCTTCCATAAGTTTAAGACTGGAACTTAAACAAATGACTATTGTACATTTCTCAACAAAAAAAAAAATGGTTGATATGCTCTGCCCCAACTTCCTGTTTTAATAGGAAATCATAAACACAGAAAAGAAAAATATTCTTAAAAAGCAAATAGAGAATAAGGTAGTGATTCATTTAAAAGAGCAGGTTTTCAATCAACTATGGAAGACAGAAAAGTCAGAATTGAGAGATGTCATTTTAGAATTCTGAGGGGAAAAAGAACTGCGAGATCTAAACTTGGAAAAAGTCAGAATTCTGGGTTTATATCTTACAATTCTGAATTTTTAAAGAACTGCAATATGTAAACTCAAGAAAAAAAAGACAGAATTGAGAGATGTAATTTTAGAATTCTGAGGGAAAAAGTCAAAATTGCGAGTTATACATTTGGAATTTCTAGAAAAAAACTTCTATATAACCAATAAACTAATACTTTTAGTTTGTTTGTTCATTTGTTTATGGTCACAGGCTCTCAATGGCTTTGTGTTGGTGGTCACCGCTGAAGGGATCATTTTCTACTGTTCTCACACCATCCAGGATTACTTAGGATTCAACCAGGTAATTATCCTTCTCAACAGTCTCTTACATAAACACATATGTATCATATAGCCACCGTTCTAATACTAATCCAATATACAGCTGAATTACAGTCACTATCTTTGGGATATGAATTATGAGATTGGATGTTGCTATATATTCCTCACTAAACATACTTAGACTGGAATTAAACATTTTGGAAAATTTTGTTTCAACATGTTCATCTTTTAAAAAGTGTAAAAAAAAAAAATGCTACTTGTCACGTTGCTCTTGATGCAAATAGGCTATTTTGTAGTAGGGCGACTTATGCGGTAAAATTATGCGGCAAACCAGCCATGACGTAATGAGTTTTCAGCGATCAGGACACAGTTTTAATCTGATTGATAAGTATGCCCTGTACGTACACTTTCCCGGAATCAATATTACGTCAGACTCAGCTGTCGGATAATCATTCCATACTTCTCACCTCTATTCTTAGTGCACACACACACATAAATGCTCATCAGATCTGCCTAATACTGATTAATACTGCAGTGTATCTCTCGAGCAACAGTTTGAATGCGGTAGAAATTGAATGCGCTTAATCAAATAGGCTTTACTCTGAGATTCAGTCTGGCACGGCGTAATCCAATTCATCATAATTTACTTATGAATTATCCAACTGAGACGTCACTATATTTGTTTACTCTATGTGCGTACGATGTCCTCTTTTTGTTCGGTTTAACGTGTTTAGACGAGAAAAGAGGGAGTTTGATGGCAGGTCAAAGTTTATGCTGTCAGACTTGGGATTTTTCAGTGAATACATTGTAAAAATGTAATAATTGAAAAGAAAATTGATGAAAAATATGACAGTATTTACATACAAGTTAAACATTTTTTTTTTCAGAACTATGTATATTCTATATTCATATACTACCATTTTTTAAAGAAATTGATACTTTCTTTCAGCAAATATGCATTATATTTCTATTCATCAAAGAATCCTAAAAAATTCTATCACAATTTCAACAAAAATATTAATCAGTACAACTGTTTCCTAATGTTTCCTACGCACCAAATCAGCATATTAGAATGATTTCTGAAGGATCATGTGACACTTGAGACTTGAGTAATGATGCTGAATGTAGTAATGAATGGAGCTGAATGGAGTAATGATGATTCAGCTTTGCTTCACAGAAATAAATTACATTTTGAAATATAATGAAACAGAAATCAGTCATTTTAATTTGTAATAATATTTTACAATATTACTGTTTTACTGTATTTTTGATTAAATAAATGCAGACTTGGTGAGCATTTAAAAAATATTAAAGCATCTTACAGACCTTAAACTTTTGAATGGTAGTTTATACATTTGTAGTTGGTTCTAAAACGTTTTAAACCCATAAAGTGATTCATCCTTTATTTTGATTTTAATTTATTTTAACTTAATTCTCTCACAACATTCCTCTTCATTTCTCCCTCGGTCTCCCAGACAGATGTGATGCATCAAAATATGTTCGAACTCATTCATAGTGAAGACCAGCAGGCCTTCAAACGCAACTTGCACTGGGCCTTGAACCCGCCTCCAACCAGCACGCAGACAGAAGAATCCCCACAAGGTCAGGAAATATATAATTTTATATCATGGTACCACTTTATTGGGTTATTTTTGCCTTGAAATTTAGCAAAAAAGTGTTTCTTTATTAAATAACCATGTGGTAGTGTTGATGTTTTGATACACTGATGAATTACATGCTTTAAAAATAAAAGGTACTTTGTTTCATTGACTTTTTAGTGAGAACAAACCAAAGGATATGATTATTAATAACAAATTCATGATAAAAGACCCAAAGCACTTCAAATTAGTAGTTTACAGCACTCAAGTTAGGAGAGAGAGAGATCTTTTTTTTTTTTTTTTTTTTTTAAAAAGG